TGGAAGGGACCTCAAAAGATCATCTAGTCCAATCCCCCTGCCGGAGCAGGAACACCTAGATAATGTTACACAGGAATGTGTCCAGGCGGGTTTTGAATGTCTCCAGGGAAGGAGACTCCACAACCTCCCTGGGCAGCCTGTTCCAGTGTTCCGTCACCCTCACTGAGAAGAAGATGTCAGACATGTTCTTCTACTGAGAAGTGAATGGAGGAATTCTCCCTTCTCTTGGGTGTCAAAGCGAAGTTTGTTCCTGCAGATATCTGTTTTGGCTTTAAAGTTCAGTGCCATCTGATATTTGAGGAGGGCAACCAGTAACAACTGGGGTCAAAGACTATTTGCTGAGCCCATGAAGGTGTTAAGGGGGCATGAAGAAAGGCTAGGAAAACTGGAGAAGAGCCTGCAAAAGAGAAGCTGTGTGGAGACCTCAGAGGAGCTTCCAGTATCTGAAGGGGACCTACAGGGTTGCTGGCCAAGAAGTCTTCATCTGGGACTGCAACGATAGGGCAAGGGGTGATGGGTTTAGACTTAAACAGGGGAGATTTAGGTTGGATATAAGAAAGAAGTTCTTCACTATGAGGGTGGTGAAGTACTGGTACTGGCTGCCCAAGGAAGTTCTCAATGCTCCATCCCTGGCAGTGTTCAAGGCCAGGTCGGACAGGGCTTTGGGCAACCTGATCTAGTGGAAGGTGTCCCTGCATATGGCAGGGGTTTGGAACTGGATGATGTTAAGGTCCCTCCCAACCCAAACCATTCTGCAAATTCTGTGCTCTCCTGCTGTACGTCTCTCCTAATCCTCGTTACACTTATTGAATTCTCTACAAAATAGCTGATGCCAGTCTTCACCCAGCTGAATCCCCATGGCCTGCAAGTCATCTTACACACTGACCAGAAGCATTGTTTTCCTCCAATTTATTTTTAGCTGCATAATATGACTACTCATATTTGCGCAGAACATAGCCCTGAGCATGGTGAGATGGCGCCTCTGACAGTTTTTGCTGTAGCAGCCATCACTGAATACATTTTGAGTGATTAATTTTCTTAAAAGCAAAAATAAACCTTGGGAGTGCACATGTGCTAACAAGTTAAAAATAATAATAGGTGTCTGTGACCATGCTGCTTCTGTCTGAATCCTGCAGGGGAATTCAGTTGCTAAGAACGACTTATGCAGCTTGCCATATTTCTGTGTGTTAAACAGCAACCAAATAACTATAGGCAAAAGTCCCAGCTGTCAAGCATGAGGAGTGTAGGGGCTGATCGGGGGAGTACAAGGCATTTTTCTCCTATGTTATATATGTATATTAGATAATGTAAAAGGGAAATTAAATGAGGTGAGTACAGAGTGGGAAGGATGCTACCATCTCTTTAAAATACCATGCCAAATGTTTACAGAAAAGATTCTGTTTGACCAGTAGCACTGTTCTTTATATAGTGCTCCTAACAGTGCTTTACAGCATAACATTTCACAAGGAGAGTGTAGCACCAGCTATTTCAGATTGCAAGAAGGCTGAACTCGGTTCAGCTACCCATATAGGATTGCTCTTCTGGGCAAGTCTCAGCTACAGTGAGAGAAACTGGAGGCAAGTGTTAGAAGTAGCCTCCATGGCTGCTGACTCATTCCACAGCAATATTTGGGACTCAGTTTTAAATCGTGTCAGTTTTGGCTCTTCCTATGAGATTTTTTTTATTTATAATTGCCACAAATTAGTAGAGATTTGTAGGACAGAGGCAAGAAAAGCATCTTTTTATCTTCACACACAAATAAAGACTGAAAAAGTTTCTTGGGCTTTTAACTGAAGTCTTCAGCTTTTTCATGACTTCACTTTATTTCCAAGCTCTTACTACTCAGCCATGAAACTCATCCTTGTGTTAAAACCTCACACACAAATTATGAGTTCAGAGCTTTGGCTTTTAGCACACATATAGGAAAACCTGAAGAAAACACTAATCTGCCCCAGTTCCCAGGGTTCAACACATGCTATATACATGGCATCCCTTGTGATATTACTGCTGGTCTTGCAAGAAAAGGATGCTGAGAACAAAATAATCATGATGATTAGGACCCAGCACCTTTCTTAATTTCCCCAAACTTATGGCATAGAAAGGAAATATTGCTTTGCCATTTTGACAGTCTGTCTCCATGTATGCAGTATAAAGACAATAAACACAGAGCAAATGGAATAATTTCTAAGATTTGAAGTGGATTATAAGTCTATATTTTAAAGTTGGAATGTGGCAAGGGGCAGGCCACTGTAACTAGCAAGGCATAGACCAGAGAATGCTGAGGATACAGTGGATTGGTGATTTGCAGGCTTCAATTATCCACGTAAGCCTTTAAAACAAAACTGTGTTAACAGCCTCTATACTGTTTCTTGGCTCCATATGATTTAGGCAGACACCTGAATGTGGTAGAGGTTTTACTCGCTTATCAAAATATTGATTCCTAAACTGAAAGTTCTTTCTGTGAACCCTAACACACCACTCTTTAAAAGCTCATGAACAATCTCGGGGCTCTGTCAAGTCAATATTTCATGTTTTATTAATTCCCTGCTTAGCCAGTTCTTTGAATTGGTTCAATTTAGTGTCTGTAAACCTCCTAGTTGCATGTTTACCTGAAAAGGCTCAAAAGAGCTTTTTCAGGCTGATGGACAAATTTATGCTTAGAGAACTCCTAATCTGGAGTTTACATAATACACATGCTGAAAAAAAACAGCTATTTAAAGAAATAATACGGAATAGGCATAAACAAAGTATCATTGTGAAAACCTGTATGATTATATGTGTATGCTGTAAATTATGGCCTTATACATAAAGGATGCTCTAATCTCATGATTAATTGTCTCTGAATGTGCCTACCTCTACATATCTACAGCTATAGAACTATTTTTTGCTAGTTCTTAATGAGTGTTAATTGTTGATCATCACAAGATACAGCTTCAGTCACTTCCACATTTTAGCAAACTGACTCATACATACAAAGCAAACTACTTGAGATCTAAAACCAATGAGCATATAAAATGTCTCACTGTGAGCTGCTAGCATATGCTCTGATTTTAGAAGGTGGTTGTAGACAGTCAATCTGATTCGTTCCTCATAAATCTACCACTAGGCATTTGAAGATAGAAGGTAAAAACATTTGAGTACCTGCTCATAAACTGGACATCATCCCTTTAGTACACTGAAGGAGAGAATAACTAGTTGGAAAACCAGTATGATAATGCACGTGAAGATTATTAGGTGTGTAGGGAAGTGATGTTGCTTACACTGCTTAATTTGAGTGGTTGTGAGTGACTGACTCGCGCAATAACATCTTTTTTTTTTTTTTGTCTTTTATAGAATCTTTTAGCATATACATAAAATGTATAAATAATAAGAATGTATATATTAATGTAGAGGCTAAAAAAGGAAGTACACAAAGATATAGAAAATCAAACTTATTGCATAAGTATTGCATAATATCACTACAGAACAATGTTTTAAGCACAAAGATTTGCAAATTTCCCTTTCAACATAACATCACTCATAGTGTTCCACCTAGAAATTCTTATAGTGAAAGGAAATGCAGAAGTAAATGTGTTCAGCCAAATAAACTGTGCTTGAAACAAGGCATATGTTTGAGTAAGCAACCTCTACCTAATTAAAGATTTCAGTGATTATGAATTTCACTGGTCTATAGATAAATTATACAGGTAAGGATGCAGGTATCTTCCTATGTGCATCACAAAGAAATTCATCTAACTTTAACAGTAACTGCAGTTCCTTGAGCCTTTGTCTCATATCTGATTGAAAGCCTTCTTAATATGTCCTATATGTATAGATCAAGAGCCTTCTTTTCCTTCTCTTAAATTAGCTCCTTAAGTATCAAACAAGGACATTTGAAGAACTGAGCTCCCAGAAACTCTCAACTTTTTTTAGTGGTTTGTTGTTTGGGTTTTTTTAATCCCTTTTTTCAGCATTTATGGAATTTTACATTTTTTTTTTATGAAATGTAAAGGAGATATCATAAGATCAGTAACTCAATTTACTTTTTTTCTGAGTTAAAGTTTAAGATTTTAATACTTTTCTGGTAAAATTTTTAATAATAGTCCCATAAAAAAAAGAGAGAGGGAAAGAAGAGAAAGGAAAATCAAGGAGTTTTGGACTCTTGATCACTTCTATAAGTTACCTTGTCTAATGAAAGACAAAGAATTTAAAACTTTAACTTGTAATAATTTGCCTTTAGTACTTACTTTAAATTCTGATAAAGTTCCACTACATGTTCAGATTCTCCATTCAGACACATTCCAAATGTATTTATTTGCACAACTGAAATCTGCTTTTCCGCACAACAGTGTAATGCTGCTGGATGAAAAAAACCTCTCTAACACAAACTGCTACGTTTAGGAGTAAATAAAATATCCTTTTTAGGGTAGGACTGATATAATTATGACTGATTTTGAGTTACTAAACATTTGCTAAACTTGTTGATAAATTAAAACTAAAATGCAGCTATTGATATACAGATATTTAGAAAATCAGAAGAAAACTAAAGTATTTTCAACAGAAGTATTCCTTTTTCTGCCCTACCTTGCATTTGTTGCACTTTCAAGACTCCCATTAATGGGAGTTCTGGGAGTGTCAGCTCTGTAAGACTGGTTCTTCACAGGGAAATGTGACACGGAAAGGAACTCAAAGAGAATTCACCTTGGAAACTTTAACTGGGTTGTATAATTTGCCATTCTGTTCACTATATTTCAAAGGTATCCCATAATAGCTAGTGGTTCTTTACAAAGGTCACTGTAAAATCATATCCTGTATGACTACATATTTCAGAGTGTTCAGCATCTGCCAGCTGTTCAAGTGAACTTTGTTAATGGAGGCAAAGTTTTCTGGGGTTGTCACCCTGACCCTTAAACTGCATTATCTACAAAACCATAAACCTTATTAAAAATAAAAGATATGAAAAGGTTTATAAAACATCCTCTTAGCAGATCCTGTTTCCAGCTCCACCTTTTGATCGGCAGTTGGTTTTCAGCTCTTGCCACCATGCCTGCTGATTACAATGGGACGTGGGAAATGGAAAGCAATGAAAACTTTGAAGGCTACATGGTTGCTTTAGGTAAATGAAAAAATATTAACTATACAAAGAAAAAATGTTTCAATTATAAGTAAAATCCTCCTAAAAATTAATGAGACTATTTCTGTGCATTGTGACATAAGGGTTTCTCTGATCACATTAAAAGTTCAGAAAAGTAATATAATTACTGTGATCTAAGTATAAACAAGAGAAGAGCTGTAGTCAAACGTATTAGTCATTATTTAGATGAATGAAAAGCCAGGTATAGATGGGGAAAAAGAAATGATACAGATATTTCTGATAGAGAAATTATAAATATTTTTTACTCCTGGTATATACTTATTTTGACAGTCAAATCACAACCTGGTCGTCTCTGTTAAAGATGGGATATTCTATGTCCCTAAAGTAATTACAGTGTTTAGTAATTAACGCTTCGAAGCAGTAGAAATCCTATGTACCAGTTGGATGATAAAGGTGAAATAAGCCTTTAAAAAGAATTAAAGCCGCATGGGCAGATATTTCTGACAACTTCTGTAGGAGTCCATACACAGCAAGGAGGCTTAGGTCACAGGATTTCTTGAAGATAGGTTTGCATGGTTAACTAAGCTTAATTCCACTTGCCTAGGACCATCATTGATGACAATGTATGTTTACATGCAAAAAGAGATGTTCTGCTCTTCAGGCAACTTATATTACTACTCTGTTAGCCTCTTTAGCATTAGAGGCCTGATAGCTACAGTTTGTGCATCCATTGTACAGGATATTGCTTGTAGATGCTAGTATATTGTCAACTGAATGCAAGTTCATGTGTGTTCATATCAAGTTTTTGTTGTTTGTAGATTTATTTTTCCCCACACTGATAGACTCAATTTTTGTAATGACTGAGCTGATTTTAGGAGAGAAACGTTTTCTTGTGCTGCACCTATTATTTTCAACATAAAATGCCTTCTAAGCATTTTTGTTCCCATAAAGGCATAAGCTTTTTGCTCTGGGTCATTATAATTATCTAAGTAGCGTGCAGGAAATCCTTCCTCTGCTTAGGTTAGCAAAGATGTAGACTTTGATTTGCTGAAAAGAAGAAATAATAGAAGACATCACCATTTCTCAAGAATTTCTTCAGTGCAGTCTGGATTGGCACTGGAAGAACAGTTACCACCTTCCCATTACTGCAGTAATACAGCTGCACTCCAAAACCAGCAAAAAAAGAGGGGAGTCAGATTTATACATGCATGAGAAGTTGTCTGGAGCTGGCCCTTCCTAAGTACACGATGGGGGTTTTTGCATATACACGCATATAGATTTTGTAAGTTATACTAATTAAATACTGCAAAAGAAAAAACAAACCCACCACCAGAATCAATGCAGAGATGCATTTGGCTATAGGTGATTCTCTGAGTGGAAGGAAATTACATGGAAAGGGTGAAAAGATATTCTTCTGCTCTGTTTCTCACAATACGCATGAGGTTGATATTTTAAGCATTAAAGTGGTCAGGTTCAAGGCACAATGTGATTTTGGTTTGTTGAAATTCATCCATCCTTTTAATTAATGCAGATGCATTTCTATACTTTAATTAAAGAATACTTTTGCCCTTTAAGCCAGAAACTTTGATTTTATCATAAGCATGCTACAAAGTATTTTAATCTACTAGAATAGAACAACATATCATTTTTATTGCTTGTATTGTTCAAAATGCAGTTATGAAAACCATGCTTTAATAAAACCTCCCCTGATTTTTCTCCAGGAGCTACAAGACTAATATATTAGTCAGAAATAGCAATTCTTTGGAAGTTTAGACATTTTTTTTCCTCAGAGGGAACTAGATTTTATGATACCTGGCTATAAATCAGACCCAGAGGTACCTCTAATCCACCCCAACAGATAAAATATACCCAAGAAGTCTTGAATATAAATATTGAGCAAGAACATTATTCCCCATGTTAAAAAGTAATAATTTTTTTTCAAGCCAATCCTTGTACTCATCTCGATTAGTACTTCACAAGCAGTATAATGAATCTACCCCACCAAAAAAAGGCTCCATTAGTATGTGGCATTGCTGAGCTGCCAATGATTAAACCACTAAAGGATGGCTAACAAATCAAAAGCAGTTTTCAATCTCTTGCAGAAGCATGTGAGATTATTTTGTTTGCATATAGCACCATAACAAGATTCACTGTTAGCTGGTCAGAAATATTTATTGCAGATGGCGCTAGGTGGATTATCTGGGGCAAACTGTCGTTGTAGCAATATATATTCTCCGTTTGGAAACTTTCAATGCATTCAGTTGCAAGCAGTTGTTTACATTCTAATGTTAGTCTTCTTCATGAACAAAATAAGGATGTTAAGGAGATCAGTTCTGCATAAAATAGTGACAGAATATTAAATAGGAACTATCAAATGCTGTACTTAGATACTTCTTCTACTCTTGGCTTGTAATTCATCACCCTTTAACATCTAAACTACACCTTATCTCTGCATCTGCTGTCTACCAGTAGAGGATAAGTCATACTTTTATTTCATTGCTTATTTTTATTCATTTGAATAATTTTCAATATTTTAAAATTAATTAACCTCTTATATAGTTCCACAGACTATAGGTTCATCTTGAAAGTAACATTTACAATGCAATTATCATCATTTACAAGGATACCGGAGAGGGACTCATCATCAGGGACTAAAGGGGCAATGGGTTCAAACTAAAACAGAGGAATTTCAGGTTAGATATAAAGAAGTTCTTTACTGTGAGGGTGGTGAGGCACTGGCACAGGTGTCCCAAAGAAGTGGCAAATGCTCCATTCCTGGCAGTGTTCAAGGCCTGGTTGGACAGAGCCTTGGGTGATATGGTTTAGTGTGAGGTGGCCCTGCATGTGGCAGGGGATTGGAACTAGATGACCTTAAGGTCCTTTCCAACCCCAGCCATTCTATGATTCTATGCCAAAATCCCCTTGGTTACATACTCATTCTAACATGCTTATTTTCTAAAAAAGAATATTATTTTGAGATTCTTCTTTTGGGGGCGGCCAACATTTTTAACCCTGCAGGACACACACCAGCACCCTCACATGTGAGGTGCTACATGACTTACACTGCATGCTTACAGAAAACAAGAGAATGGCTCCCAGGCATAAAGTGATAATAGCATTCCTGGCACCCCAGAGCTTCTTGCAGCCAAAAAGTCCGTCTAATAGCAAGGTTGCATGTCCTCAAAAAAAATGGAGATTTGGGATTCACTACTGGTTGTATGTTGTAACTCGGCTCACAACATTCCCACAGATATCCTGTTAATAAGTAAATTTATCATCAGTGGAAGATCCTCAAGTTGAAAGTCTACTCACAAACACAAAATCATTTTTATTTGGAGTGATCATTTTCTCTACAAAATGTTGCAGGTAAAAGTATCATTTGTGGAACTCTGTTCCACACCTAATGTGTTGGCATTTTTTTTATGTATGAATATAAGTGCTGTGGGGTTTTATTTTTGGTAGCAAATATGGGACTTTTCATTATGATACTCTCTTCTCTGTTTTATGGCAGGTATTGATTTTGCAACTCGTAAGATTGCAAAACATTTGAAACAAACAAAGGAGATTGTTCAGGATGGTGATAACTTCAAAACAAAAACACTCAGTACTTTCAGAAACTATGAACTGAATTACACTGTAGGAGTGGAGTTCGAAGAGCACACCAAAGGCCTGGATAATCGAGTGGTAAAGGTAAAAGTTTGGTGCCTTGTATCTGTTTACAGTACAGCCAGCACCAGAAGAGAGCAGTTGCAAAAATCAGCTGAATACATGAAAAAGCCCCCACAATATTTATAAACATCAGGGGATTTTTATAAAGCAGAAATAATTTGCATCTTGGGACAGTTTTCTTTCCTGCTACAAGCATTTATTCCAAATGCAAATCAGGATGGTTACTCGGCTACATGAGGACAATCATTAATTACACGTTTTTCTAGTAGGAGATTTTTCCAGCTTTTTTCTGATACACCTTTATGTATTTAGAAAGTAGCAAAACTGCATTTTGACCTATTTATCTTCCTTCCTGAAACTATAAATCCATCCATTTGAATCGAGGACTTTCTGTGACTCAGTATAAATTCTCAGTTCTGAGTGACAAGGTTCACACTGTGTTTTCCATCTGAGCCTGCTCAGGCTCAGCTGGACAGTTTAACAGTTGGACACTGTTAAAAATAGACCTGCTCTCAGCTATTAACCTTAAGGGAGCTCTGGGAAGGGACAAGACCAAAACATGAGCCATAGCTGCCACTGATACAGGTGGCAGGCCTACTGGCAGTGGCAGACGGGCAAGGAGGCACAGCAGTGCATGCTTTAATACCTTTAGGATTATAGGAGTAACCTGAGATCAAAATTCCCTTAGGAAACTGTGGGCATATGTTCATACACTTTTCAGTGAGATATGCAGAGAAGTAACGTTTGGATCAAGGACCATATTGTGTATTAGTCAAGTTTCTGTACCAATACTGCTTCTGTTTTACTCTCTTGTCACCCCTAAAATACTTAAAGAAGATTTAATTTCCACAGACTTTCCCCATCAGTCTTCCTAATCTTGCATCACCTGCCTTTGTCATCACTCACTGAATCTATCCCTATCAACTCCTCTGCCAATTACTGCAGTTTTATTCTTCCTCTAAGCTCAGCTCTCTTGCTCTTCTCCAGACATATGCTGTCTTTTCCATCAAAGTTTCTCAATAAACAAGGTTTTGGAACTTGTTGCCAAACTCTGAGAGGCTGGTATCAAAGCTCACTGTCAACAAGACCTGTTCTGTTTTGGCAATTGCCACAGGAAATTGGCAGCATACAGGACATGTTTACATTTGAACTCACATTATCCTTCACTAGAGTGGCACAAATTAAACAGAAGACATTGTTTATTCACTGTGGATCACTTTTCATTCTCAAACATGATCCAGTGTAATTCCTACCACTTCTTCCAAATTACTTCTCATTCACAGCACTGCAAGCCACGAAATTGTAAGACCCATTCTTTTGCACTGGGTGGGACATATTCCTGTGACAGACCTTATGCTTTGAAACATTGCTCCCACATCTCTTTAGATCAGTTGAAGGCATTACTGAGTATCTAAGGGCTCACTAGTTGCACCACTCTTCAAATCTTTAGACTCTAGTGCTCTTCACCACTATCAAAGCTATTGCCTTTCTGTGCAAAATCATTTCATTTGCAGACTCTCCTCTTCATTATCAGATATTTGGAAGGAAGGATGGGAACACAGCTTGTACATTTATAACCCTACTGGGCTTAACCATTTTTGCCTAATACTCTTTCCTAAACAATTCACATTACTTGTCTCTAAACAAGAGGAGAGGAACACAAGGAAGCAAGTCATGCCATTATTCTCTGGACTGCTATAAAGGAATTTTCTGGTCATTTTATTAACAAAACAATGCCTCAGACACATTGAAAGTAGATGAAGGTAATGAAACTGCTAAGCAGCATTTAAATGTAAAGAGGGCATGGATAATTTAAAGAGCATGTAGCTTAAAAACTCCGTAAATAAGAAAAAAGTTAACTGAAATGGAATGAGTTTTGTCTTGTTATTAATAGAAAGCTCCCTCAAAAGAGAAATAAATCTCCCAGTGCTGAACTAGAAAATAAATTAAGCTCCCAATACTCAGGGAGCTTTTTAATAACTGAACTTCCACTGATTGTAACTGGTGTCCGATGAGGATTTGCCTGTGATACATGTTTAAATGCCTCCCTACAGTACAATGGTTCAAATCTAGAACAAGTCAAAGCTGCTTTGAATGTACTCTACTTTATCTGAGTAGATAATTTAGCCCGTAAAGAGAAATTTTTGTTACAGATATGGTCATCCTGCTCCTAGACAAGGATCAGCATGCCCACTATCCTGTTTACTAGTGATAGACTGAATCACACCAGATCATGAAATGGCTGAGGATGGATGGGACTTCTTGACATCACCTAGTCTGCTCAAGCAGGGTCAGCTAGAGCATGTTGTCCGGCTTATGATCTTTAAAGGTCATTTGTGAAAGTGCACAACAATATAAAAATAAATTTATTGCATGAGATTGTATTAACATACTTCCATTTGTTATTTGTTGCAGAGCTAGAAAAGGTGTTAGCACTGCACTAGTTGGTATAAGCCCCACGTCTTCACTCATCAAGACTTCTAATCTTTTTATTAATGGCTTTAAATGGCAAGAAAATAAAAAGACAGTTTGCATTCGCAGCACAAGTGTTAATTCACCCAGCAAGTCACTAGACAGTATGACACTTTATATTCATGTATGTGAAGAAATGCATGGAAATGACAACAAAGCCCTGTAAAAGCTTCACATCAAAATCCTCTTGTCATCTTGAATGCATCCAGGTTTTGATTGAATGTCTGCTTTGGGGGCTTTTAGGACAAAGGTGGGGAATGGTAGGGAATTGTCTTCTAATTGTTTGATTAAGCTTATTTTCATGTATTGATAAACTTCCTGATAACATATCTGAGTTAATTATCTGATTCATGCAGACGCTAGTGACCTGGGATGGTGACAAACTGGTGTGTGTTCAGAAAGGTGAAAAGAAAAACAGGGGATGGAAGCACTGGATTGAAGGAGACCTACTGCATCTGGTAAGGGCTGCTACACAGACTTCGTAGTACATAACTGACACTGCAACAAAGTGTGGTTTTCCATTTCAAGAAGTTTGTTACTTGTTCTAGTTTGAATGGTCTTTATTTAGACAGCTCCTGTTACTGAGCTCTGGGGAAATTCCCCCTCTGCTACAAGTCAGGAATGCTCAGTTTCTTTCTACTTGCTCCCAGTTAAGTCATAATCCTTCAGAGGGTTTTTTTGCTCCAGTCCACTGCCCTTCAGCTATTAACCCTTCTTGTTACATTGCACCTCTAACATCAGCTCATTCTTATATCATTGGTGGTAGGAAAAATAAACCCAACAAACCAAAACCCCCCAAAAAACCCAAACCGTATGGGACAGATTGCAAGAAAAATGCCATCTTTGTTCTGGAAGAAGCAGTACGTGATTTTAGTGTACTGTGGTGTAATACAGATCAGAAACTGCTCAGTATTCAAGAGGATCCTGCAAACAAGCTACACTGCAATTATTGTGTTCTAGTACAAGAAAAAAGTTGAAACATTCATACATCTGAGTTAGTAAGCTGGAGCCCAAAGCTAAATGAGGTGAGTGCAAGATAGGCCAGAAGAGCCTGTGCAGGAAATAACGAGTGAAGTCCAGAAAGATTTCAAAAATCTAGATACATATGATAATGATTCCAGAGTTTCTTGGGAAAGCAATCAAGAAATGGGCATGATAATGTTAAATGTTGCAATAGCTGGGTGGAGAAAGCTTATGGAGCAGAGCTCATTGATCTTTCTCATGATTTACCTCTAGACACCTACTCCTTCACAAGTGTGCCCTACAGGTAATTGGTATGGCCAGGTACACTGACTCAAGTCTGTATGCTTGGAAGGTCAAAACAATGAATGGAAGAACACTGTCTGCCACTTAACTAAAAGCCAACTGCTCAGTACACCTTTTCAATGCTATTTTAACACATATTCAAAACCTGACCTAACAAAGGTTCTACATGCTGGCACCAGGATTCAGGCTAAGACTGTTGGAAACAGAAAGATCAAGTAGATTTGTACAAGTCTTCAGAAACAGTATTGCTGGCCAAAAAGCCAGCTGCAGCTCACTTCAAAGTCTGATTTGGCACAGGCTAATGCAAAGACTACCCAAACTGACTGCATTGCAATGTGCACGTGTGCCAACCTTGAAGGCATCAGTTGCAACACTGGGCAAAAATGTTGTGTTGTTCTGGCCCCTGAAAGATGGTTTGGGCATGTCTCTGAAATAAATGTCCTCATCTGTTCAAAGCATCCTCCTTTTTTTATTTAATTCCTTGTTTCACAGCTTCTCATAATTATGAGGTAACATGAATTATTAACTATTACAGTATATTGTTTTAACAATAGAGCATGAGAAAGCCTTACATTAAAGAGCAATTTTTATGCATTTTTCATGTTTATGCTTCTTAAAGCTCAGTTTAGCTGTCAAAATCTAATTACTGCAACATGTGGTGCATGCCTGCTGTTTGGTTACATATAATACACTATTCTTTTTGTTCTCTTCTTCATAAACACGTCTTTTTATTGCAGTGGCTCAGTTGTAGTGATTTCTGGCAGGATCTGCTGCGTATTCAAAATATGACTTGTACCACTATATACTGACTAATTGTTTTAATACTGTAGGAACTGACATGTGAAGACCAAGTGTGCCATCAGGTATATAAGAAGAAAAACTGATCAGAAAGCTGCACCATTATGCTGTTATGTTTTGTCTAAAGAGAAGAACCAAGCCAGATTTGCAATAATTATTCAACACCACCTTGCGAATGTATTTTATGCCTGTTTATGGAAACAAACACATTTTATAGAAATAACATCAAAGAGTTACAAACATCATAAATTCCTTTGTATTTCAGTCTGGAGTTAAATAAAAGTAATTGTCTTTCAAATTATGTTTTCCTACATATTTTTAATCATTTCCAGAGGAATGTTTTTCAGTGACAAAGTTGAAAATTAACAGTTACAATGATCTCGACCACAGTGTATCTCTCCATAACATCTGTAATATTATAATATATTTGGATGACGGGGTAAAACTGGGCATTCATTGGACTGTTTCTATTTAATTTAGTTCTGGATCACAAAGTCCACAGTTTCAGGCAACAGAATGGCTCACTGAATATGATACATGGACTTTCACATCCAGGTAATTGATTTGATTTTGACCCACATCTAAAGCTGCTAGTGGTTACCAACTGATCATGTTTCCTTGCCAATGTGAAATGCTGTAGCTCCTTAATAAGTTCCTAGAGTGAATCACTGACAATGCTGCTAAACTCCAGCTGGAACTGGCATCCTACTAAAAACCCCAGTGGAGAAATCTGCTGTTTGAAGCAAACTTTATATTCAAGAGTTGCTCAATGATGTAAGGCATACTTATGGCTGTAGAAGAAAAACTGCAGGGTACACACAGACTGCCTGCACCCTGTGCATAAAGAGGACCCACCCAGCTGCAATCTTCACCTTCTACCTCCCTTTCAGAGACTTTAAAAAGAAAAGCCATTTCCATACAACTCTTCTAAGTTTTATTTCAGGTTTTTCAAAGGAATTCATGTTCTTTGCTAAAGGCAAGTTTAAGTTAACCATGGATGGTGAACACTACTTTAGTAAATAGAAATTATTCAGCAAAATGCACACATTCCACAGAACTAAAGAAGGGCTTGTATGCCCAAAAGCTCATCTGTTTTTTCCCAACCATATGAATTATTCTAATAAAATATCCTGTCTTTCCTATAACTTTGCCTTGCAGATATATAAACTTTCTCATAAAGTCTATCACCATGTCAATTCCATATTGTCCACAGGCCCCCATTTTCTGTTTGGTATGGGAGGAGTGGCAATTCGCTAAACAGATCCGTGGTAGGGAATTAGAGAAGAGATGTGGAAAAAAACTTTGCAGAAATGGGGATATATGCTTTCTCTTCTTCCCAACCTGCTCTTAGTCTTCCCACTGTCTCACTGCTTTCCTATCTTTTAGGATACGAAAGCAGTGAGACAGTGTCCCAGCTGAGAACAAGGTTACCTCTGCAAAAACCCAAATCAGATTATTAATTCACTAATACTTATATGGCCATGGAAATAGAGGTATGTATATAGGGATATTTTTATGAATTGGACTTTGCTTCTCCTGATAGAAGTTGACTGTTATCAAACTTCCTGTGTACTTCAGCTAAGCAATGCTCCAATGTTAGTTCACATAGAAGAAACTGCAGTTGGAGTTGATAAACTCCTTATTTTTATTTATTCAGCCCTCACCCTGACTTTCCATTAGAAATATATTTAATTCCTATTTCTATGTCTCTGCTAGTTACTAGGATAGGAAGTACCACAGTTCATTAAGCTTTCAAAATGTTATCAGAACAAAGTAATCACTGGGAAGCAAAATGTGCACATTTTAATCCGTGACATTTCTCATAGCTGGTTCTTGGCAGGAGTAAGCCTGCACGACGTGGGGTTTTGTAACTTCACACCAAATTAGAAAACAAAGGAAAAGCTTTCATGTAGCACAAAGAACTATCGATAAATCACAATGGATGAGTTTGCAGATGGAAAGGAAGCATTCGTCAACTGATTTCTTATTATGTTTACTGGTTTTATCTAATGGATACTGTAGGGAAGTTCATGAAGTAGGCAATTGTGCAATTCAGTAGACTTTGATTAGGAGAAAACTGGATCTGGCCACTTTTGGTCATCAGTTTTCTTTAATGCTTTAACAGGGAGTGAGCGAATCTGCAAGGCTTTTTACATTCCAGAACAGCATTTTCTTCCCACACATACTGATATGTAGGAACTTACAGCACCTTTACAACTGTATGCACAGAACTGGAGACAGAGGAGATATTAATTTTGTTGCATTACAATTGCTTCCAAAGGCATGTATATATATACTTGTTTGTGTCATGTTTGTGATGTTAGCTTGGTCTCTAAGCTGTACAAAGTCCCTTATCTCCTTGTCAGCAGATTAAATACCTGCACAGGAGGAACAGATCTCACTGGTAAATCAGAGGATGTTCACTCCCAGTTTTTCAGCCCTCTGGCATGCAGTGTTGTCTCAGCTGTTTTGAAGGATTACCATTTGCATTGATTCTTTTCCTCATAGAGAATATTACTCAACTACAGTTAACAGGAAGGAATTTTACCAGCAACCTTCTGATCCAGACAACAGAAAAGCCTGTACTGTAACAAAAGCACTTCCTAGTGAGTACAGTACTGGACAAAGAGTCAGTACCATTAGCTGGCACTGGACTTTTCAACAGACAAGGAGAAAGGTATGTGTAAGAAATATTTATGGTGGAATTTGTTAAAACCCTCTGCATGAAGTCAATTTTTCTCCCTCAAGGTCAACTAGCATTTTCTTGTCAACTGTTAAAAGAAGAAAGCAACACTGTGGGGAAATGCTGCAGGATAATGTTGTAAATGCTCCCACCAACATTGTTCCGTGGCTAGTTCCTAAGAGGCCATCTTTCTGTTAAGCTCTGGAGGGTCACATATTTGCACAAATGGCTTTCAAATTTTCCATGCATATTCTATGTGCTCTGCTGATGCACTGCTTGTAAAAGAAAGTTGGAGATTTCTAAATCAGCTTTGACTTCAAGATCTGATGAAAACAAATAGAATTTCACCATTAAGTTGTTTAAATACATTTATTTGTACTTTTTTTAAGCAACGGTAATATTTTGCCTTGGTGGGGAGAGATTAATAGAAAGGATTTCTTCAGAACTCTTTTTTTTCCCCACCAGAACACATTCTGCTCAGGTTTCATTTGTGATTGACTTCAAGGGCATAGGTTGCAGATATTTTAATTTCAGCTTGCTGATTACACTTGTTATGCAGATGGTGAAGATCAGATGAAATCATTGTGTGAAAATGAGATTTTAAATAAAATTAATCTGACAAGATTTTCAATAGCTGCAAAAATTTTCTCAGTTATTCTCTAAATATCACACTTGCTTTAATTATATCTCACACTGCAGTGCTTCAGACATCATTAAATAGAAATGGCAGTACAACAGATGACAGTACATAGTCTACTTAATTCAGAGGACTTCTGTGGAGTCATTCCATTCAGCCAGATCAGATCCTGAGTCAGAGCATACGTATTTACTGATAACACAGACTATGGAGCTGAAGAATTTAATGCATTCAAAGTATCAGTGTCAGGAAAATGTTCATCACTATTCACTGTTATTGATATCTGCTTCAAAGATTCAACAACAAAAGAATGCAATATACTTCCTGAATGATTAGGAACAGGGGTTTTAAGTTAAACACTCATCTTTCAACTTAGATGATCAAAATATGCAACTAAAACCAAAACCATGTGGCATATGGCACTTTTTTCTATTAACTGAAAAACAAATAATTGAGAATTTACATTTATTGATATAGATATACATAATATTGCATTTTTCTTAATAAATCGCCAACAACAATCTAAATTTGACTCTAAATTTCTAAACATTTTTGAGAAACAAATATCAGTAAAATAGTCCAGAATAACACCTGGAAGATGAGCTTTACTGGTTAGAGGATTAAGGCAGAATTGAATGGCTCCCTTTGTGAAATAACAGCCTTGGTTCTCTAAAAACACAGATTGCTGTTTGCTACTAATGGGTGCCTTGAGTAGCATTACAGCAAATTGCTTTCCTTGATGGCATAAACTGAATACACAGAAAACACAAACACTCAGTTAAAATGTTAGCACATCAGAAGTCACTAAAGGAAAATAAGTGTTTTCCAGAGAACGGCTTTGTATGATCATAACTGAACTATTTCTGTTTTAGTGAACTTGTGGCGTTTAAACCAGGAAGCAGAACCAGATTTTCTACTGCTATGCTAATTGCATAGTGATTCTGCAGCAGAGCAGGATCAATGCTGACTGTGACTAAACCACAGTGGCAGAAATGAATTAACTGTTGATCATGGGGCTGCAGGATCCAATGTGGTCCCCAGTGGAAGTCTAGACAGCTCCAGCCCTTACTCTGATTTGGACTTCCAGATGCAACATCTGCTCACAGCAACAGGGATATTGTTTTAGTTACACCTCTTCTTACCTGACTCCCCTTAGCTTGTTGTACCAGTACTATGAGATTCTACAGGGGCAATGCACTACTATGAGAGGGTAATATTTGTCAGAAGATGATCTCATACCAACTACCTGAACCTCTACCATGGAACAAGTTGACTCAAAGGAATTCCAGAACATACTTTAGTAGTTTAAATCTCGGGATGTGCCATTGACACAGCAAGCAGTGCAAGGCAATGAAGATTCTGGCCCTTGTGCTCAGACTTGGGTTTACAGGTTTTTCACAAGGATAAGTATCTGTGTTCTCTTGATACAGTTTCTCTTTGTCTTTTGTTTCAAAGAAGAAAGCCAATCCTTCCCAAAGTCATAAATAAAGAAAAATATGTTCATTTTACTGTAGATCTCAAACAATAAGCAAGGATGTGCATGAAGACAGTTTAGTAACTTCTCAGATATGTGGTTTTATTTATTAAGTATGTGAAAGAACTTTGTAGCTGTCCTAGTGCAAGTAACTTAAATAAAATGAGACCTATAATGTGTTAGGAATCTTCCAATGAAACATGTTTCGGCACCTTGGAATAGGGTTAAAAAAATGCCAAAATAATCGACCTGTCACTGCAAATTTGTTTCCTCATGGGATTAGACACAGATTAAAATTCTTTCATAGAATAAATCAACATTGCTCTGTTGAATATAAAAACAATACAATGACTTGTATGAAAATCTGGGCTGCAAAATAAAATGTCTGTAGTCCTTTGCTTAGACTACCAACAATAGTAACAGTCAAGACTCCTAAAACCATACACTGGATACAGTTCTGCAGTCACAGAATTCACACAGAACAGTCAGTTGCACCTTGAGCAG